ACCCCGACCCCCACCTCTAACCCCCCAGCCTGTTTGAGCCCTGGGCATCCTTTAAAGTCTGGTGGAGTTTGATTGCCTCCTTGGAGCCTCTCACACTACATTGGGAAGGGGCCCCTTCATCTAGGAGGCCTTCAGAGCCCTCGGGGTTTGTGGAGGTGGAACCCCAAGAGTGGGGCAGGAGGCAGCCAGGCTCTGGATGGACTTGTATCTGACGCCCAGAATCAGCCCCTCACCATTTGTTTGTTTGTTTTAACCAGTGTGATTTCTCTGCTGTTCGTTTATTACTCGCCATTTGGAATATTTTGAGCCAGGAGAGCACTTTCTCTCTCTGCAGCCGTCACCACTCTGGTTGTACGGGGTTGGTTTTCAAAGACAGGGCAGAGCCTGGCTGTCCCAACCAGGGAGAGAGGAGGCTTGGTGCCTCCCAGCCTGAGCCCACCCTCTGGTGTCTACACAGCCTTTATAAAGAGAGAGAGAGAGCTCCAAAGCAATAACAACATCCTGGGGGTGGTCCCCGATGGCCCCCTCACTGACTTTCTTGTCTTTTCTGTGAAATCTCAGCTTACCTCCTGGAGGGGTGGGGTGGGTGGGGGCTGGAGCCCTTTTTCTTTGTATCATCATTGTAAGCACGTGCCCCCTTCCAAGGGGCTCTGACCATTGGCGTGGGAACCACCGTCTGTCCTCACCCAGGGATAGGGGCTTGGGAAGGGGTGACTATTCTCATTATTAGCTTTGGGAACCTTCAAGCCCTGCCTGTCCCCCCTGCTGTTAAGGTCCTTTGCAGCTCAAACTCCACCATTTGGACAGAATCGGAGAGGGTGGAGTTGGGGGGATTCAGGTGGGGAGGGGCTGGGGTCTCTAAGGGGATGAGCATTTTTCAACCTCTGGTCCAAAGGTCACATGCAGAGGTAGTGTGGGAGGGAGTTGTCTCTTCTTTCCTTCTCCAGAATCTGCTTTTCATACTAAAGGGAAAGGGGCTTTGGGACCATTAGTAAAGTCATTTCCATTTTACAGATGAGGAGACTGAGGCCAGTGCAGGAATTCCGGCATCTGGGGTCATCTGTAAGGTCAATGGCACCCCCACCTGGGCCTCCTTTCCTACCTGAGGCTGAGCTGGAGCCAGGGTAGGATGAGGTGGGGCCGCCATTTCTCACCACACTTCCCCCTTCCTTCTGTCAATGGAACCTTCCAGTGGCTTGAAAAGATGGGCAGGGCAAATTTTAGCCCATCTGAGAGGTGAGGAAATTGAGGCCCAGAATCAGGAAGGGACTTGCCCAAGAACCCTCAGCAGGTGAGCAGGTGGAAACCGAACAAGTTTCCATTGTACTTCCTTCCTTCCTGGGACAGGAGACCATTGCTCCAGGGCATGTATGCTATGATAAGTACTTGTGGCCTTTAAGCCCTGGGCCATCCAGCCCTGTTTGGTTCCATCTCTATGGGCCAGTAATTTTTCTGGGCCTGGGTTTGGGGAAGAGGGTTTGCCATAGAGACCTAGCTGTCCTGGGGGTCTGGCCTAGCTGACTGAGGATTTGGTCCAGGCCTTCGTGACTGGGTGGGGGCTCCTGCCGAGGGGCCATAACCCTCCAGGACCAACTTGAGGGAGGTAAGAAGCCCCAGTTCCTGCCTGGGGCTGCGTGGGTGTGAGGCTGCTCTGGTACACCTCATCTTAAGGAGATCCTCAAAAAACCTTCAGATGTAATATCTGATCTTCCTGTTGTACTTTTCAAACTTTTTTGTTTTCAAAGTACTTTTACCTCGAGTGTACTCTTACAGGAGCCCCTGGGCAGTAGGCAGGGGCCCCTTATCAGCCCCATTTTAAAGAGGGGGAAGCTGAGGCCCTGGGATGGAAAGGTACCTGTGAGGGTCCTACTGTGAGTTAGTGTCCAAGCCCGGGCTAGAACTCAGTTCTCCCAACAGTTCAGAGCTCTTTCTTCTCCACTGGTAGGTAAAGCAGTTCAGGGGGTGGTTATGCACTTGACAAGCTGGTTCACCATCCGGGTCCTTAAACCAGGAGCTCCTGGCACACTTTGGTGTTCAGAACAGCACTGAGCCCCCTTCCCCTTGGAGCACAGCTGTTGCGTCAGGCAAGGCCACCTGTGTTTATTTATTGAGCAGCAGCGTTGTGCCAGGCCCAGGGGACCGAGCCATCCCCGTCCCCCTGTAATGACTCCCATAGCTCTCTGGGAGGGCCCTGTGTCTATGTGGCAGCACCTCAGTGATAGGAAGCTTTCATGTCCATTAGCTCATTGACTCATAAACCCTGTAGGGAAGCTGATTGTGCTCATTTTACTCATAGCTTCTGTGAGAGCAAAATGGAGACTTGAACCCAGGGCCTCAGACATCACATCTGGAGCCCTTTCACTCTTCAACTGCCTCCTGAGGGGGTGGCAGGAAGGCAGGACCCCGGATCCTTAGGCTGAGGCCTCTCCATCCACCAATCTTTCCTTCATTCCCTCTCCAGGAGCAGGAGCCACTTGGGCCTTTGGGGAGGGAGGGTTTCCCTGGCCCCTGGGTTGGAGTGGGTCACATTGCATTGTGTTCACGACCATGTAGCTCATGTTGAAAATAAAAGTTTTTGGCTTTTCTAACTTGTCTTACTCTGCTTTGTGTTGAGATCATTCTGTCTGGGAAGCTAAGAGCAGTTGTTTTAAGGAGCTGAGTGCTCTGGGATGCCAGTGTGTCCCACCATGGGCTTTTGCAATGCCCCCTTTTGGTCCTGTCCTGAGGACCCTTCCAGAGGTGCACAGGAGGGAGCAGGATTCTAGGTGAACCCAGTCATTTCACAGATGAGATTTAACGGAGGACCAGATAGGGGATGAGATTCACTGAAGTCACATTGCGGGTGACTAGCAGGACCCAGATCTCACAACTCCCAGGCAAAAGCTTGTCTCATGGCATTCAGCTGCGTCCAGGTGGCCCCAGTGACATGGTGGGTGTCAGCAAGGCCCCCTCATCCTGAAGTGGGGCTCGCCAAGGACAACGAGCATCAGTTTGGGTGGGGGGAGAGTGCACTTCATTCCCACATGGGCCAGTTGCTCTCTACATGCTGAGCAAGGGAAAGTGATCATTTAAATTGTGCAGTGATTTGCCTACTGGTCCACACTGGGCGATAGATGGTTCCATCCTGTGCTGCTCATGGGTGAGCAGCGGGTCTCACGGGTAGGATTCCAGTGTTGAAAATTATGCATTTTCCCTGCAACACGGAAAAACGGCCTCTTCACGAATCAGGAGATTAGCCACCTGTTTCCACTCCAGAGCGCCAGATAGTGACATGGGCCTGGGGAGAGCCTCTCTTAGGTGGCCGCACCTTCCCAAACCAATTTGGACCATAGGGATTTGCACCTACTGGGTGACTTTAGAGTCATAATTGTGCTTATGACACGACTTTATTTTTGGAGAGAAGAGAGCGGCTAGCCACAGAATGTAATGAGAACCTGCCTGTGGCAGAAGGTGGCCTTGCGGCGTGGCCCCTCGCCCCTCTCCACGCTCAGGGAAAGCGGTGCACTGATAGGGGAACCCAGGCCCTCCGTTCTGGGATCTACCCCCAACCAGGTAGGGCTGTCAGATGGACTTCCGCCGGGCGGGGGGTCTGCCTGACCCGCAGCCGCCACCCATAGCCCCAGGGCTCGCGGGGGGCGAGAAGCCCAGATTGTCGCGGGCACACATCTCCAGCTGGTGGATGCGGTAGGAGACTGAGGAGCCCCCGGGGAGCCCGGGGCGGCGGGCGAGGGCGGGGCCGCGGCTCTCGG